TGGGATTTTATAATTCCTAACTCAAGGCTGTGTTCATTTATGTTTGTGCTTGACGAGAGCTCCAACTTAACTGAATGTAGACAATTTGGAGTAGCCGAAGAGGGTGTAGCTAATTTAGGTTTCTTGTTGAGCTAGATGATAATTGTTGTACTTGTTAATGTATAAAAAACCGCAACAGAATATTAATTTTCAGCATAGAAGTGCATGAAAGTGTAGCCTTCAGAACTTAATTCAATTGCATGTTTGTTTGGCTTGATCACAAATCAAGTTGCATCGAAATTTGGCATAAAAATTACGCAGTTGTCTGAGAAAAATGCATCAATATATTTAAATGTCTTATGTTGACATGACAATTATTTTCTCCCAAAAAATGATTGCTCAAGACGATATTCTGGAAAAAAAAACAAACTTACTGCATCTTTCATATTATTATATGAACTATAAAACTGTCACCCCAACTCACAAAAATATCAAGTCAGAAATTCATATAGTAAAGCATCATCACCAATATACAGCCAAATTATCATTCCATGGATTGTAAGCATAGAATCCTCTTTAAACAGTCATCAAATGCAGGTTGTTGCATATAACCTTCCACAGGTGTTTCCTTCCCAACACTCATCGGATCTGTTTTAACTTTTCCATTTCATTCATGAAAAGCATAATTGGTATCTAATACAGTTAAGAAAGGCATAACTGATATCTAATACAGTTTTAGTTGAATTGATGCATATCATAATTTCAATAATCTGCTTCAGCATCTCCAGTTTGTTCCTATTAGCTGACCATACTGGCTACTGCTACCAAAACCAACTAAAGCAATTATGGCTCAGCAATAAACTCTAGTAACTATGACAAATATAAACCCAATGCATACCGACATAAATACAACAACATACCCAGTATATTCCCAACAGGTTGGAGTCTGGGGGGTCAGTTGTACGCAGGGCTTACCCTTGTAATTATACAAGGAGGTTGTTTCCGTCGCGAGCGAAGGTGCATTGCGTCGTTTGGTATATATTTTTTTTTTCTAGAGACTTCACTAATAGAAGAAGCACTAGAATTTAATTGAACCATTTTGATCTAGTCCATTATTAGCACTATGCCAGGAGAATTGTAAATAAAAAATATAAATTTAAACAAAAATGATTTGTACCATTGGGGTGCAATTAGATATCTGAGCATAGGAAATAAAACAGAATTAACTCAAGGAACAAAAGGCAGATCATTCTAAAAGATAACCATTAGATCACATCAAGTAGGCCTGTTATAGGCTTATAGAGATTTTTCTGAGGAAATAGTAGCATAAATGGAGCCTATATGTATACAACAGGCTAATGAAAAAGGTGAAACATCCACAAATTTTCGTAGCATGCTGTGCATGAGCTTAACCAGAACAACCTGTAACATGAAACTATTGACCACTTACCAGAGTAACTAGTCATGTGGTCCGTCTTCCTTACACCAACCAGTCTCTGCAATGTGTAAAAGAAATAACCGTGTTAATCAATCAAATGGAACAAACTAACCAGAGAAATAATTAAATTGTAACTACAGTTTTACAGCAATGTGTCCGGAAAAAAATATGAAATTTTTTTAAAGATAGGTTTCTTGGGTATGAGTCTGTAGCTTGGTATTTGACCAAAGGGCAAAAAGAGCTTAGTTCATCTTTCTTTTTGCTGTGGGATTTTATCATTCCTAACTCAAGGCTGTGCTCATTTATGTTTGTGCTTGACGAGCATAATTTTAGTCGAGCTCCAACTTAACTGAATGTAGAAAATTTGGAGTAGCCGAAGAGGGTGTAGCTAATTTAGGTTTCTTGTTGAGCTAGATGATAATTGTTGTACGTGTATGTTTCCTTGAATGTGACTTTAAGAGAGAGGAGCATTATCCAGATATCTCTGATTCCTTCTTTGTGAGCAATTTTTCTATAATATCTATAACTGAACCTATTCAATAGTGAGTATTATACAGTTGCATTTAAGATTTTTTCTTTATGAACAATTTCTTTATAGTTTATTCAACTAACTCTATGCTTTAGTAACCTAATATGAAGGAATCATATAGACAAAGAAAACCTCACCTTGAGCAAAATCAGTGTTATTAAATTTCCGCCATGGCGGAATGGCGTGGCGTTTTTTGGCCTATCCGCCACCCGTTAGCCGTTATACGGCGGATTTGCAATGGCGGCGCCATGGCGGGCGCCATGGACATGGCGGTCATGGCGGAATGGCGCTTATGGCGTGAAATGGCGGAAATCTGGGCTAATTTCTGTTAAAAACTAAATTGGACCTGTAAAACAGGCCCAAGTACTAAAAAAAAAAAGAAAAATAAAACTTTAAAACAAATAAACACAGAATCTGTTCGTAAAACACAAACCCTACCCTCTTGGCCTCCTCAAAGCCTCCCTCTCTGTTGCTACCGTGCGCGCTCTACTGACCCAATTTTCCGGCGACCGGCAATTCAAGATTCGGCGACCGGCGACTCCAGCTCCGGCAAGGCGGCTCTTAATCACTAGTAAGTTCTTTTCTGTTCCTTCTATTTTCAGTTTCATTTCCTTCTATTTTCAGTTTC